AACGCGGTCACCACATTGTGGCCGTGTTCATAGTTGATGTTATTGAGTATTGGCCTTTTCTTTTTTATTATAATTACTTCCATTTTCCAACTGCCTTTTTTTATATGTGGATGAGGCTATGTAAAAAAAAAGCTAAAAAATGGAATCATTATAAATAAAATAAAATAAAATCACAATAACATAAACTACTAACACGGCCACAAAGTACTGACCGTATCTGGAAAATAAAAGCATTCCTATAACTCTAGATATATACATAAAAACAATTGACACATTTAGCTGAAAGTAGCCTAAAACCGTCTTTGATAATGGCTAAAAGAATAGCCGAAAGCCCTCAGGCATACAGAACATTCGGAGAATTTGGCATAATTTACGTCCACAAAAGAAAATAAATATAAGAACACAAGCGAAGTATAAAAACTTAACCTTAGTACCTTGTCAGTCGTTTTTAAAGAAAACTGTATAAAAGAGGCATTGCTACCCAAATACACCTTTATATATATATATATATATATATATATATATATATATATATATATATATATATATATATATATATATGTATGTATGTATGTATATAATTTAATAAAAATATATAATATATATGTTTAATAAAAATCTATAATATAATTTAATAAAATGTAAACTCGGTTCAAATCTCTGTTTTGATATTTCACAGGTTTATAAAATTTAACTCTTGTTAATATTTCATGTGGGCATTTTTTCTCATCCTCTTCCTTTTCTTTTGTAATTTAATGCTTGCTCTCCTTTTAAATCATGTTGTTCCTACTGATAGACTTACTCTCCTTCTTTTGCTCTCCGTGTCACGCAGAAATGTTTGTATATTAAAGATTTTTGATGATTCTGTATCTTTCTTCTTATTTGAATTCATTTCTACTCTCTCTTTTTCGCTTCGCTTTCCTTTTTTTAAAATCTTGCTTTTTCCCGCCATTTCCGTTTTAATCCTTCTCATTTTCCTGGTTATTTTTTTCCTCAAAACTGTGTTTCCTCCTCTTTTACTTTCTCGAATTTTTCGCATTTGCACGCATTTTCTCATCACTTTTATTCTTGCTCATTAGTTCTCGCCTTCTTAGATAGCAGTCTATCTTTTCTCCCCTTTCATCCTTTTCCATCCCCTTACTGTCAATCCACAAATTAATTTTTGTTTCTTTCTTATAAACACCTTCTCCATATTATTCTGACGTTATTTTCTTTCATATCTGGTGATCCTTTTCTAATCTCTTTTTTCCCTCTCTAGTGTTTAATCTTCTTTTTTTTTTCCTTCGCATGATTCTTACGTACCTTCTTTATTATTCGCCTTACTCTCTCGCCTTCCCGTCTTACGCGTCCATATCCGCATGCTCATTCTCCATATCTTCTTAAACACTTTCTTGTTCACCTTTTACTTCCCCCACTCCTACCAGCTGAAGAAATTCATTTTTTCCGCACAAAACTCCCGCCCTCTTTCTGGATCGGTTTCCTTACTCTCCTCCCAGTCTGACTTTCTGCATCGTTACCCTCCTCCCCCAATCTATGCTCCTTACTCTCCTCTTCCTTACTCTCCTCTTCCTTACTCTCCTCTTCCTTACTCTCCTCTTCCTTACTCTCCTCTTCTTTACTCTCCTCTTCCTTATTCCCTCTTCTCTTACTCTCCTTTCACATTACTTTCCTCTCTTGTACTTTCCACTTACTCTCCTCTTCTTACTCTCCTCTTCTTTACTCTCCTCTTCTTACACTCCTCTTCTTACTCTTCACTTTTTACTCTCCTCTTCTTTACTCTCCTTTCTCCTCTCTACTTTTTATCTTACTCTTTTCCTCGTTTACGCTCTTCTCTCTACTTTTCTTCGCCCTGACTCTTTCACCCACCATTATTACTCTCTCTCTCTCTCGTTACTTTTCTCTCACCTTAATCTCTTCTAGCTCACCTCACCCTGCTTCGGCTTCCGTCGTCTCTCACTCCACATCTTACTAATTTTTCAACGCCTCCAACCGGGTCCTCTACGCCTGGTAACAACTTTGTAGCTACTATTTAAGCGCTAATCGAAATCGACTTTAGAAACGAAAGGCACCAACACACAAATCGCAAAACGACAAATACCCCGAGTGGAAGCAGACAAGCATTGTCCGTTGCTTTACAGTGAAAATAAAACAAAACAACAAAAAAGAAAGCAAGTAAAATTAAACTCCTCATCACAACTACGACTACAGCGACAACTATACAACTCGTGCCGACCGGCAGTCAGCTTAGAAACCAGTAACACCGATAGACAGACTGAAAGCAAACTGAGTAAAGGAAGAAGAGACGAAAAGAAATACTAAAATCAAAACACAAAAGCACCCACACACATAGATTCCCGTGAGGTAAGTCTGTCTGTCTTTCTTTCTTTCTTTCTTTCTTTCTTTCTTTCTTTCTTTCTTTCTTTCTTTCTCATTCCTACAATTGTTTCTTTTTCTGATATACCCTCAATACGTCTTTCTTTCTTTTCTTTCTTTCTTCATTTCTTTCTTTCTTTCTTTCTTTCTCATTTCAGCAGTTGTTTCTTTTTCTCAATACAGCTTTCTATCTATCTATCTATCTATCTATCTATCTATCTATCTATCTATCTATCTAACGATCTTTCTTTCTTTCTTTCTTTCTTTCTTTCTCATTCCGACAATACTTTCTTTTCTGTGATATAGCTTCAATACTTCTTTCTTTCTTTCTTTCTTTCATTCTTATTATTGAAATTATTTATTTCTTTTATTTCGAGTTTTCTTTGAATTTATTATCAAATTAGGAATGAATTCGATTCTCCAAACTGAATCGAAATTAGTCATTGTCCTGCAAAACTGATTCATCGAACAAAATGACCCTCAAAGAAAGCAAACTTGTTTTATACGGAGTTCATAAGTTACTCTTTGGAAGTGTAAGCCTGCCACACATTCTAGCCCATAGAATTTTTATTCTTATAACAAACAACCTCAAAAAGATTGTTTAAAATTTGAATTTAAAACCATCCAGGAAATAGCCAGTCATTTGGTAGATCATTTTAGTTTCAAAATTGAGTTTTCTCACGGGAGATATTAAAATAAGATTTTTTTTTTTTTTTGGAAAGTGGATTCTCTATGTGAATAAAAATCATAGAATGATGTTAGAGAGGATTTCCCCATTATAATGGAGATATATATATATATATATATATATATATATATATATATATAGAGAGAGAGAGAGAGAGAGAGAGAGAGGTAGATGTATGTATGTATATATGAAGCGTTAAGAAAGTGAATATTTTAAATAAACGCTACATTTTTAATTATCAAACTTTGTTACTTACGTCTATCGGCCTGCACATTCAACAAATTTTACTAACGAAAATGCGATCCCTAACAGGGATTGAACCTGCGTGCAAAGTATCCACTGTAATAACGTTTTAAGTAATAGAAATGGCGGGTTAAAAATAAATCAATTAATTCTTTAAAAATTGCTATGTATATGTATGTATATCTATAGATATAAGTATATATGTATATATGTATGTATGTTTATGAATATTTCAAACACACACACACACACACACAAATATATACATATATATATATGTGTATGTGTGTGTGTGTGATTGTATGTATGCATATATGTAAAATATATAGCGCATAGGAACTAGAGATTTAGAAAACACGGTTTCAATGTAAAATAAATGCGATAAATATATATTAAAACATTACAACTTTATTTGTTACCATAAGATATTACTTAAAGTTTCATGCCCTTAGCAACCATCAGGTGTGTGTGTGTGTGTATATATATATATATATATATATATATATATATATATATAATTATTTATTTTTAAAAATTATAAATTATAAAAAAATTATAACTGTTATAAATATATATGTTAAGAAATGGACAAGGTCCGTCAATTTATTTATTAAAGACATTTTTTTTTTTTTTATGTTTAACGTTGTTATTTTATAGATACAAGTATTTAAGCAAATGCTCTGTTTATGATAAACAGTATTAAATAACATTTACCGGCCTGAATGTCCGAGATATTTTCATAGAAAATATTCGTTCTTTGACAGGATTCGAACCTGCATCCTATACGGAACCGTCATATACGCTGACGTGTCTTTACCTCTAGGCTACAAAGAACCAATCGGTAGACAATTAGCAGTAAATTCGACCTTGTCTACCGATTGGTAGTTGAATGTTTGTTGATTTCATAATGAGAGACGAAAGAAGAGTTAACTGTATGTTCTATGTTAAAAGTTTGATTTCTCGCACTTCTCGTTTGTGGAACTTCCTCCTGGCTTCTTGCTTCCCAGTCAACTTTGATATTCAAAAATTCAAAAGCATTGTGCATCTTTTGTCTTCTTAATTCCTGTTCTTTCCTTGTCCTCTCTCCTTAATAATGTGGTAAATTTTCATTTTAACACCCGAGCGATAATATCCCTTCAAATTTTTCCCAAATAGTTTTATTTCCGTGCAAATGTATATGCTGAACTCAAATCAACAATTAGATATTGAAGAAACCTACATTTTTGGATGTTAACGACCCGAAAAAAATCGGACTTTTTCCCGGTCTTTCATCAGCCATTACCGGCTTATTGATAAGTAATTCAGTGCTGAATTTTGTTGCTGGACGTATACAATTTGGGCCTATTTACTTCCTTCACAGTAATTCCTTGTAGAAATTAGTACGCGCTTCCGTAAAGCGATTTTGTTTTTGTACTTAATTTAAGAAGAAAGTTAACTTTCAAATATATGTAAACATCGAAAAACAAAAGAATAACAAAGTAATTTTTTTTAAGAAGAAAGTTAACTTTCAAATTAGGGTTAGGTGATTCTTTTTTTGGTTATTTTTTTATTTTTTTAAGAAGAAAGTTAACTTTCAAATTAGGGTTAGGTGTTTTTTTTGTTATTATTTTTTTTTTTTTTTTAAGAAAGTTAACTCAAATTAGGGTTAGGTGATTCTTTTTTTGGTTATTTTTTATTTTTTTAAGACGAAAATTAACTTTCAAATTAGGGTTAGGTGTTTTTTTGTTATTATTTTATTTTATTTTATTTTTTAAGAAAATTAACTTTCAAATAAGGGTTAGGTGATTTTTTTTGGTTATTCTTTTATTTTTTTTAAGAAGAATGTTAACTTTCAAATTAGGGTTAGGTGTGTTTTTTTCTTTTGTTATTTGTCGATGTTTACATATATTTGAATGTTAACTTTCTTCTTAAATTAAGTAAAAAAAAAATCGCTTTACGGAAGCGCGTACTAATTTCTGAAAGAAGATAGTTCAGCAGTGAATGACGCTCGGGTGTTAAAATAAAAATTTACCAATAATGTTTCTTTTATTCTCATATTCTATTACACTCAGTAAGCCCATAACGTCTTATGGGTTTATTGTCTTGTTTGGGTTGAAATGATTAAAAAAAAAATCTCTCAAATCTGTTTTTCATTTTTTCATTATTTAAGTTTCTATATATACTGTATATAATCGAGAATCGTGCAAATTCTTTGAAGAGTTTTTTTACGTAAAACATAGGGGATCGGAATATATACACAGGCAACTTTTTTGGAAAGGTTAAAAGTCACGCATTTTCGGTGACCGATTTCACTATATACAGGGAACTTTTTCTGGAGGACTTAAAATTCATGCCAAAATTTCAAATGTCGAACTATACATGAAGTCGACTTATACACGAGTACGTAGGCAATTGTGTAATATTCAATCTCAAAGATTCCAAGAGAGATTCCAGTTTTTGTTAATGTTAAAAATTACTAGGACTATAATAATTGCCACGATTTTATTCAGTTATCCGTCCCCTCGGGACATAAGCGACAATGAGCTTCCACGGATTCATTTTCTTGATTATCTGTGAACCGATATACATTCTTGAGAAATATAGTGGACCGTACACTATTTACATTATTCGGACTATTGTCCTCGTCTTTGTTGCCATATTTACAACGTTTCGGCCGTTGTACGCTCCGGCCTTCTTCAGGTGGTTGGAATGTCGAACTGAACCCTTTGTTTCGCTCACTGGGGTAGACTGTTCTAGTTCCAAATGCCATGTTTGATGGATGTCAGTTATCAGTTATCTCCTGTTAATTCCCCTCTCCAAGTTCTCCATTGCCTTAACCGGGTATTAAACTCACACTTTTTGGGTCCTGTCACTGGATCTAACCAACGCCTTTACCCACTGTGCCGAAACGTTGTAATAAATATGGCGATAAAGATGAAGACAATAGTCCGAATAATGTAAATAGTGTACATAATACCTCATCTGAGAAATATAGACAGATACTATAGTGGGACAATTTGTTGTTTTTCCACGGTTTGGTTTCGAGTCGTGCATCTCTTAAACCGGTCTCCAGCACCTAAGGTAAAAGAGCCTGGTCTACCTTGCTATTTAACCCATAGCTGAAGAGAAAAGACACGGATTTATGCCCATCTCAATTTCGCAATAACCTGCTTTATTTGTTAGAAAATTTTCAGTAAATATTGACAAACATATTGATGACATCATTTGGTGGAGTGTTTCATTAAATTCACTTCAAAAACCGTTCGATCTAAAAGTTATGGCGTCTTTTTTTTAAAAGTCATCAGCATTTGATGTAGTTATCATCCATTAAATGAAAATTGGGGAAATTTTCTTTGAAGAAAACGGAATAGTGAGTTTCCCGAATGTGTTTTAATATTCAAAATGTTTCATTGCGTTAATCAATGAAAACTTACTATTGACAAAAAAAGAAAAAAAAATCAAAGGGAAAAAGAAATTTCCGAATTAAAAATTACAAAAAAATTAATTAGTCGCTTTCCAAGCATTGCATACTAATACTACGAAAAGGATACAGACGAGTCTTCTGTCTGTCAATTCTAATTATTTTAGTATTTACCAATCCATTCATTTCAATATAGAAAGGTATATTCATCTGGATTTATTCTTATCCGTTCATCTAGATAATCTCTCTCTCATCTATCTATCTATCTATCTATCTATCTATCTATCTATCTATCTATCTATCTATCAGCCTGTCTGTATGTTTGTCTGTTCAATAATATCTATCTATCTATCTATCTATCTATCTATCTATCTATCTATCTATCTATCTATCTATCTATCCAACCATCTGTCTGTCTGTCTGTCTGTCTGTCTGTCTGTCCGCCTGTCTGTCTGTAACTGCCTTTCTATTCATATCTATCTATCTATCTATCTACCTATGTGTCTGCTTGGCAGCCTTTTTGTTTAAATCTATCTATCTATCTATCTATCTATCTGTCTGTCTGTCCGCCTGTCTGTCTGTCCGCCTGTCTGTCTGTAACTGCCTTTCTATTCATATCTATCTATCTATCTATCTATCTATCTATCTATCTATCTATCTATCCGCCTGTCTGTCTGTAACTGCCTTTCTATTCATATCTATCTATCTATCTATCTATCTATCTATCTGTAACTGCATTTCTATTCATATCTATCTATCTATCTATCTATCTATCTATCTATCTATCTATCTTTAAACTAAATTCTGTGTTTATTCGTCACTGCTAATACGTCACTCTATTCATATTTTCTCAAATATAAGTGTTTCTTTTCGTCTCCCTTCCGCCAATATCAATCAAGACCTGTCCATTCATTGCTATTTTTTACCACTAATTAATCAGAATCTAGTAACGTCGCTTATTTCTCCTGATGCAGTAAAAATGATCTGCTTTGCTTACAAAATCAGACAGGAAAGACGGCATAAAATGTCCTTTTCTTACATTCATCAGAACAGAACTAATTTTAATCTTCTGCAAAACTTTTCATTGTGCAAACAAATCCTGGCTTTCAAATTTATTCCTCTCGATAAATTGGGCACATATTCTTTGCTTTTCTCTGCAGTAAGGACAAAGGCCATCTTCACGTAAACGTTAAATCCTAATACATTGAATTCTTACTTTATAGCAATAAAAATTAAATACAATAAAGAACTCTATGAAGAAGTCTGAGGATGGGAATCTCAATCGATCAAAGTCAGTCATGCTGTTGTAGGTCTACTTCAAAGAAATGGCAAACCTCTAACGACAGCTTGTAGAAGGAATACCCAACAGAAAACTAGCCACTTCGAAACTTAGCCACTTCGAAACTGTCACGCGCACTGCGCATCTTACCTTAAAACGTACGAGTGAAGGATGATTTTAATTTTTATTAATATTCATTACAGACACACATCTATCTATCTATCTATCTATCTATCTATCTATCTATCTATCTATCTATATATCTATCTATATATATATATATATATAAACCTAGTTTCATTTAAACGGATCGTCAGGGAAAGCTTTCCCTGACGATCCGCTTAGATGACACCTAGGTAGGTTTGTCTGGCTCACAAGGTTTATGTAGATCTGCTCTACGGTTGTATTGAGCTCTTTTTAGTTAGTTGTTTACTCGTGTCGGGGTTTTTTTTGGGGGGGAGGGGGGATTTAAACCTGTATCTGTGCGATTTTTTTCGACAGACTTTCATGTTCCTGGCTCTTTCTTTTTTTAAAACCTTTTTTTTTCTTCGAGATTGATTTGATTATTGGCAAATCAAAATTTCGAAGGTTTTTCGAAACGAATATAGTTACCTATATATATATATATATATATATATATATATATATATATGTGTGTGTAAATCGAGTATTTAAATTATTTTCAGTTCTTGAAAGTCATAGATTTAGCAGTTAATAATGTAGAAAATTTTTAATTTAGTTTAACGTATATAAGTAAGCGTTTACAAAATACATATACTGTCATAATTCAACATTCTTATCTGGGCTGTGAAGAGCAAAACATGGTGAAACTCTGAGACGATAGTTGATAGGTGTAATGAATGTTTTATAGTTTCCATAAACAACTGCCATTATATGTATAAAGCGCTCGGAACAATTATTACTGGAAATTCCGATATATTTTTTAAACCCTGAAAAACGGAAAAATGTTAAATTGCTGGAAAACTCAAAAGTAATTAAATCTTCCTTGTTGGCCGTTTTCAACTAAAAAGGCTTGAAGGAAAGGTTGCCCAAATACACACAACACACACACACACACACACACACACACACACACACACACACACACACACACACATATATATATATATATATATATATATATATATATATATAAATTATACATGTCCTGATGATTGCATTTAAGCATGAAACTGGGTGCGGACCTTAATGTCCATGAATATATATATATATATATATATATATATATATATATATATATATGTACAGCCAGTTAGATCAGGGATACAGGAATGTAGAACGCCCATGGCTAAGATACAAAGATAAGCTGAAAAGCAACTTGTCAGCAGTTAATATACCACATAACACCCTTGAGCGCTTAGCCTTGGAGCGGGTAGAATGGAGATCAACGTGTTTTAGTGGACACAGCAATTTTCAATCTGCTTGTCTGCATCATCTTTAAGAAGTGAGAGCAAGATCTAAAAGGTCAGCCAATCTAACAGTGATCTCATCTCACAATCCTCGCATTTGCGCCACATGTGGCCTCCTTTGTAAATCACTAGTGGGTCTTAAATGCCACTTAAGATTATCGCACAAAATTTCATAACTGAATCAATTAGCTGTCAAATCCTCATACGTCGAAACCGACGGGAGAGTCCATTATTATTATTATTATTATTATTATTATTATTATTATTATTATTTATATATTCAAACTCGATTTTTCATTCCGAGTCGTCATCCATTACACCCCCATAAAAAATGGCAGATGTCATATCTTCCTGGTAGGATTCGGACCTTGACTTACCAACAGACTACTTGAATCGTATGCGGCTCAGATTGTCACCAATTATCTTGATTGCTTTCTTGTCATTAGATCAAGGCTGTCTGATGCTCAGTGTCGATGTAAAGTTGCAGAAGATATGAATGATTATAAACAATTCGTTCGGGTACCATTGAGTTTTTCGAGGTTGGGTGTGGGTAAACACTTCATCCGCTCTCGTACGAGTGACCAGCCATTATCCGATATACGAAGAGAGATTCTTGTCTGTATTCTGATAATTAATAGGGGAATTTTGTTCTGAAAATATAACTCCATAATTTACGAGCTCAGAGAAAAGGTAGAATATTATGTTGAAAAATAAATATTTTGGTGTAAATTAAACGATTTTTCATGAGATTAAAAACTAATTTACCAGTTTGTGACTGGAAGGGTATAATTCCGAGGGGTATATAAATCGAGAGAGAGAGCTCAATGTAGTACAGGGCATTATAATGATAAGAAGATGACGGAGATTTTAATTATTCATTTCGTTTATAATTTTTATTTCGTGAACACCAAGTTGTTCATCTCATCAGAACGAAAATTTCTCCGCAAATGGAGAAACTCTCTCTGTCCCGCTCTCTCTCTCTCTCTCTCTATATATATATATATATATATATATATATATATATATATCAACTAAACTTGCCTCATTAAAAAAGAACAAGTTTTATCGCTTTAATTTGTAAATGAATTAAATATCCACAACGCTAAAATAATAATTTTGTTATCATATATATATATATATATATATATATACAAATCCCGTTTATTTTAAATGCGAAATACAATTTTTGAAATTAAAATAAAAATGTAGTACTAGTATTATATGTAAATGCGCCAACATTGCGATGACCAGATAATTTAATAAATTTTAAAATTTAAATTACGTAACCGCCAGTCTATACTCAGCACCTGAAGGTTGCGTTGTGCATGAAACTCCGAGTCGTACTATCGACAAGGGATAATATGCATATATATATATATATATATATATATATATATATGCATATATATATATATATATGCATATAAAGTATATCAGAGGACAATACGCTGTTTATAATGCAGTCCGATTGGTTGTTTACGATCAAATGATCAGGTATAGTAATTTTTTCCGCCAAAAATTGATGATCATAAAATTTAGTTGTTAAAAATTGGGAGTATCAGTGCCATCATTCAATGAGCGTGGCCAACGACAACAAGTAGTTCAAGTGTCACGAATTCTGTTTTATTGGATAAAATAATTTCGATGTAGAAGAATTATATTTGTGTGTATAGAAATAGTTTTTGTGTTTCCTATAATGTCAAAATGTCGTGGATAACGTGACAATAATTAAAAACGATAATAATAATAATAATAATGCATACTGTGGCGTGATCAACAGTTTTGACTAAGGCTTAAACATTCTCGGTCACAGTGACTTGTGAGTTTGTGCAAGCAAAACCATCGACGACTTCCGAACAATGCCGTCTACATTATTTCACGCATGTTGGGAACGTCTCTTCAAATTCATAATTATCATGAAGTCCGTTCCTTAACAAATCGACCGTAGTGAGATTCGAAACCGGAACTCATGGTCGGAACGGTAAGGTTTTAACCACACAGATTGTGTAAATTATGAATTGTTTTTAAATCATTTCACCACTAAAGAAGGCGATAAAGCCACTAAGGGATTACTGAGTCCAGGAGAATATGAGAAATAGAAAATATTATTAACAATAAAAGAACAGAAATTATGAAGACAGAAGATAACGATGGTCATTGCATTTAAAATTTTGAAGATCAAATTTGAGTGTGAGAAGCCGGAAGAAAATCCCGTAAGCGAGAGTGCGATAGAAGAAACTGTTAACATAGAACTTGCGGTTACGTTTAACTATTTAGACTTTAATATAATAAATTGATTCCGCTAATCCAGTACTACAACTAAGTTCATAAAGTCTAGGTAACATAGTTCATCAGAACAATTACGAAGATAGTATTTATAGAAAAGGCACAGAGTAGATTCATTACGGTAGTGTGGAAGTGTCTGAAGCCGAGGTGCTAAGACAGGACCAATAAAATTACAGATTCTTCTTTGTTTTTTTTTTTTAAAGCCGGGGTATCAAACCAGTTATAGACGATGGTAAAATAGAATTAATCGTAGAAGTCGTAAAAATATTATTGGGTTTCTTTGGTGGTAATATAACAATTCGAAACCTTTTTTCTCCTCTAAGCTGAAGCTTTGTTGATTTCATAGCGAGAGACGAAAGAAAAGTTAAACGAAGAAATATTTCATTACATTTTTTTAAAAATTATTTCATAAGTGAATATTATTGACTCAAAAATGAATTTATTCTTTAAATGCCCGGCGTATTATCCCAAACAGTTCAGTTGTTTTGCATTTTTTTATTTATTTCTTCAAAAAACGCATTTTCTATTAGTTCTATGCTGACAATTTCTTTTCTCGTTTTTCTCTCTTCCGGCTTCTTGCTTCAGTGTCAACTTTGATCTTCAAAAATGTAAATGCAATGTCAATCATTATCTTCTGTCTTCTTAATTCTTCTTTTATTGTTCTCTCTCCTTAATAATATTTTCTTTTTCTCATATTCTCTCACACTTAGTAATTCCATTGCGTCTTATTGGCTTTATTGCCTTGCTTGGGGTGAAATGACGATAAAAATAAAAATAAAACTCTCAAATCTCTTTTTCTTT